CAGCTATTTCTTACCTTTACCTACTGTCTGGGCACTACTCTGCTGTGAGGGGGTGGAGTGGCCAGACACTGAAGGTTCCACAGCATGAGAGGAAGCAGGAAGAGACAAATGAGCTCTTGTTGGTAGAGAGGAAGCCATGATGTTTGGTCTCAAGAGGGCAGAGCCAGTCAAAGCCAAGGGTCTATTGGCCAAGCACTGGGTGTTTTGCTTTGTTTCTTAATCCTCTCCTCTTTTTATTATTTTTAATTATTTCTTTTATTTTTTGAGATTATGATATGATTACATCATTTCCCCTTTCTCTCTCTCTCTCTAACCCCTTTCATATACCTCTCTTTGCTCTCTTTCAAATCCATGGTTTCTTTTTTCATTAATTTTTGCTATATGCATATATGTATATATGTAAACATTCCTAAATACATTACTAAAACTTCTTCAGTCTAAAGTCACTTGTGTGTATGTTTTAGGCCTAGGCTGTAAGACCCAGAGGATGAGGGAGTTTGCTGTGAGATTGTGACTCTTAGGAATGTCAGAAGTTGCACTCATAAATTCTCACCAACACGATTGCTTAAACATGAACTGAATATGGAAGACAACAATAGACAGGCTAACGTGGATAAGAGAAAGCCCAGGAGGCCTTAGGCCTACACAAAGAACAACAGGCAACTAAGGAATGCTGAGACCAGGAGAAATTGTCTTCTCCAGGGAAGAGCCCACACTGCATTTTTAATGAGTGGATCTTGGCCAGCCTCAGGCTGTACCTGATCTCAGGGAAGCTTACTTACTTTGACTGGAACAGCAAGCTAGGAGACAGGAAAAGACTTCAGAGCCAGAGGTACTGCCCTGGGATCCTTCCCGTGGCCTTTGAGAGTTATGGTAAGCTTTGACTCTGTCATGTGTACTGGTGCACTAACGTTATTCTGCAAGGTTAGGAATGGGAAGGACTGAGACAAAAGTTCACCTTAGTCCAATCTCTGCTTGGCCACCAAGCTGATGCTGGATCCTTATTCACAGTTTTGCTTTCTTGGAGACAGTTTGAATTTCAAAATTCTTGCAGTGAGGAAAGTAATAACTTGGTATGATGGTTACGTATTGGGGCATTCATTCATTCGCTTAAATGTTTATTTAGTACCGATCATCTAAAAGCCACAGATGTGTGTGTAAACCACACCAGCACACAAGCACAAGGAAGTCCGATGCGTGTCTGCTTCCACTGTGTTGCTGAGGAGGAGCATGGGGCATGGTGGCAGTCATCAGGCAGCTGGGAACAGATTTGAATTCATCACCAAAATGGAGAGTCTTCATGTCCCTGCTTATGACATGCATTCCTTCTGTGCTGAAACTGACACTTGTCTTCTCTGTGGCGAGGCACTGAGAAATCAGCGAAGAACTTAGAAAAGGCAGTGACTCCGCTGTTAAAGACTGGCCCCATGGGGTTCTTGCATGACATCAACTTGAACTGGATTATTTCTGGCTTGAAAATAGATTATTTTGGTCACATAATATCTCCTGATTACTGTTTTCCTTCCCTCTACCCCTCACACCTCCTCTCCCATCTGGATCCACCCCCTTTCTGTCTCTTACTAGAAAATAAACAGCCTTCAAGGGGTAATAAAATAAAATAAAACAAAGCAAAAACTAACACATTGGAATATGACAAAACAAACAGAAGGAAAAGAACCCAAGAAAAGACACAAGAAATAAATATAGATGCAGAGATCCAATCCTTTGCACACTCAGGAATCCTGTAAAAATATTAAACTGAAAGCTATATACACAAAGGACCTGCAGGGTGAAAAGACAGAATATATGTAGATATATATGTCTATATATGTGTGTGTATATATGATCTCTATATATTTGTATATATGATCTAAATATATATATGAATGCATGGTCTGAAAAGCCCTAATATGACACTATGAGAAAAGGAACCTCCAAAGATGCCACTGAATTCCTTTTCTGTTGGCTATCTACTGCTGGGCATGCAACCTACCCTTTAGAGTAGTTTTTCTCCCCCAGTGAGACTCCCTTGGAGAAAAATAAATTTCTGTTTGCAAGTGGTTATCAACAGGACATAGCTTCTGGGTTAGGGATGGGGGCACATGTCTGCTTCTGATTTCAGCTCTAGGGCCCTGTTTAGTGCAGACCTATGTAGTCCCTGTGCATACTGCTTCAATCTCTGTGAGTGAAGTATTTGGTTTTATCCTAGGTCCCTGACCTATCTAGTCTCAGATTCTTGGTCACCCAAGTAGTGTTGGGTATGGTTCTGCCTTGTGGAGGAGACTTTAAGTAAAAATCTGTAGTGGTATTTGCTCTGCCCATGACCTTGGGCTATAGGGCCCAAAGGAGGCAGTTATAAGTGTTATAAGTGGCCTCTCAAAAGAAGGGTCACATGTCCCTTCTCCCTGCTCTTGCCTGTGAGGTGGATTTGCTCCCAGTCAGATCAGAGGATGACTTCAGTTGTCTACTCCATTCTATATTCATAAGTGTATTTCCTCAATTTACCTTAATAAATTTCCCCAATACTTCTTAAACAGACTCCCGTAGATTTATTGCTTTATGGCTAGCTCAGTTGGTAGAGCATGGGACTCCTAATCTCAGGGTCATGGTTCATGCCCCACATTGGGTGCCAAATTGTAGACAGAAATTTCTCTGGTCCTGCCTTGCCCAATAGTCTGGACAAATCTCTTCCACCTGTGGTCCCGCAGCTGCCTATAAAATAATTACTCAGAGGCTTATATTAATTACAAACTGTATGGCCTATGGATTCAGTTTCTTGCTAGCTAGCTCTTTCATCTTAAATTAACCCATTCCTATTAATCTATATGTTGCCACATGGCCATGGCATTACTGGTCTGCTGGCATCTTGTTGCTCCTTTGGTGGTGGGCTGGCATCTCTCTCTTGACTCTGCCCCTCTCTCTGTATCTCTGCTTGGATTTCCTGCGTGGTTGTAAGCTTTCTCACCACAGGCCAAAACAGCTTTATTTATCATCCAGTGGAAGTCAAACATATTTACAGCATACAGAAAGACATCCCACAGCACAAATCAGATATCGTTTGGTTACTCCCACAAGCTTTGTGCCACCATTGCCTTAGCATATCTTGCAGGCAAGACATCATTGCAGTTCAAAGGGTTTGTGGCTGGGTTGGTGTTTACTTTTCTCTTTTGGTAGCATGCAGAGTACCTTTCTGTACCAAAGATTCTAGAATATGGATACAAAGGCTGTATGTAGGCACCAGCTCAACTTCCATATGGTTAGCCAGTGGTACAGAAGTTGGTTTCAGCAATGGAGTTTGTGGAGCAGCCTACAGTCTTGGGAACAGCTTGGACTGTTTGGAGGTTCCTATGGGACCACTTTGGCCAACAGCTCAATTAGATGTAACCAATTCCTGGTACCAGAAGCTTCATTTGCTAACAAGATATTCACTTAGGGCTCTGTCTTCCCCATTATTTGCAATTTTCATTTAGATCACCTTCATCTATGTATTTTAGGAAGCTTCTACTGTATTAGGTTTCCATACTACACCTCAAATGGCCCTTAATCTTGGCTTTCTTTTCCTGTATTCCCTTCCTCATCATCCTATCCCCTCTCATCCCCCTCTCCACTTGATTCTCCTGTTCCAGCCCCCCCCATAACTATTCTATTTTACTTTCCTAGAGAGATCTATTTTCCCCCACCCCAGTCCCTTACTCTATTCCTAACCTCTGGTTCTACAGACTATAGCTTAGTTATCATTGGCTTATACCAAATATATACCATATTTGTCTTTCTGGGTTAAAGGTTACCTCACTCAGGATGATTTTTTTTTCTAGTTCCATCTATTTAACCACAAATTTCATGATGTCATTTTTTTTTTAAACAACTGAGTAATACTCCACTGTGTAATTGTACCACATTTTCTTTATCTATTCTGCTGGGAACATCTAGGTTGTTTTCAATGTCTGGCTATTCTGAATAGAGCTGCAATGAACATGGTTGAGCAAGGGTCTCTGTGGTAGGATAAAGTGTCCTTTGGGTATATGCACAATAATGATATAGCTGTATCTTGTGGTAGATCTATTCCCATCCTCCTGAGGAACCACCACGCAGAGTTCTGAGTGGCTGTACAAGTTTGCACTCCAGCCAGCAATGGATGAGTACTCCCCTTACTCCATATCCTCACCAGCATGAGCTGTTATTTGTTTTGTTGATCTTAGCCATTCTGACAGGTGTAAGATGAAATCTCAAAGTAGTTTTGATTTGTGTGGAGGGGACTTTCTTTTCTGGTCCAGTCTATTTAGTATTCTGTAAGCTTCTTGCTCCTTGACAGTCATCTCCTTCATTAGGTTGGGGTCATTTTCTTCTATGGTTTTGTTGAAAATATTTTCTGTGTCTTTGACCTGGGTTTTTTCTCTTTCCTCTGTTTCTATTATTCTTAGTTTTGGTCTTTTCATAGTGTCCCAGATTTCCTGGCGCTTTCATGCCAAGATGATGATGATGATGATGATGATGATATTATTTAGATTTAACATTTTCTTTGACAGATGTATGTGCTACAGAGCTGGGGGTGAGAATGGGAAATTAAATTTGGGGAAATGAAGGGAGAGGTGAAGTTCTTCAATTAGCCTGTGTCCTTAGTCTGAGTGGCCTTTGGGTTCCCAGGCAGTTCTTGTTGGAGTCAGGGGCTGGGATAAAATGATGACTGGGAGGAGGAATTTGAGAGGGAAAGATCTGTGTGATCCATTTGAGTTGAGGGTAATGGAGGAGGGAGGTCTCAGCATGTATTCTGCTACAGAGCTAAGGGTGAGTCTGGGGAATTGGATTTGGAGGAGAAGAGAAAGGGGTGAAGATCTGCAGTTAACACACCTGCCCAATGTAGACATGTGCTTGTTAATGCTGTGTGTGTGTGTGTGTGTGTGTGTGTAGGCGTGTGACTCTGCACCTGTGCACATGCATGTGGTGGCCAGAGCTGGACATCTGTTTTCTTCTCTGTTGCTTCCCACCTTATTGCCTTGAAGCATTTTTCTCGAAGGACCAGAAGTTTGCCAACTAAGCATCAAGTGGCGTGGATTACAGTTTGGAAACACCAGCAACTCGAAGATGTCTCCTCACTTTTCTGTATGTTGGAGATTCATAGCCTAACCAATTTACCTGGGCTTGCACTAATGAAATTTTACCACAGACTAAATTTTCTGGCAACAAAACTAATTTTTGACTGTATACTCTGTAAACAGTTTTTAAACTTTGAATGATGGTATATTTTGCTACCCTCAATATGATAAGCTTAGGGGTTAGGGGATGGAGATAGCCTGGTTAGTAAAGCACTAACTTGCCTTACAAGTGTGGGGACCTAACTTTGATCCCAAGCATCCATGGGAAAACCATAGAAAGTAAGGCATGGTAGTGTGCACATGAAATCTCAGTGATGGTGGGATGGAGGCTGAGAGTGTGAGCCCTGGAACTCCATGTCTGGCTGGCCTTGCCTATGAGGGGACGTTCCAGGCCACTGAGAGGCTCTGTCTCAAACAAAAGGTAGGAAGTGCCTGAGGACTGACACCCGATCTCCACATGCACACACGTGGACCTGTGCACACACACAAGCACACACACAGACATACAGACACACATTGGTTTAA